AGAATGGGGAGAATGCCTTTATTTTATTTGGGATGTTTCAGTTTGGGGGATACTCGGCTTGACAGAGCAAGAAGGAGATGGTCTGGTTTCAGACCTCTCAAGTTCTTAAGTCTCCCAACCTTCCTAAAACTCCCCTTTTAAAATAATTACTTTCTGTGAAATATTTTGCTCTTCAGCTGCCCCATGAGAGCAAGATAGCAAAGCTCTCTTCTTTCCTCTTCAAAATACTGAACAGATTTTCCATCAAAGTTCTGCTCTTGAGGTAAAGTTTTGATGCCTTTCTGCTGGGATCTGCAATATTAAGTGTTGGATGCTATAAACTCAGAATAAGCTGACTGAGGCAGATCCTGCCTGTTCAGAACCTTGCCTGCAGGTTACCAGCCATGCTTCAGGACATCTATATGTGATGTGATGTGTTGTTGTTTCTGAACTGCTCCAGTTTGCTAAAAGGCCCTGAAATTAATGATGTTTTAATAAAGTTGGTGTTAAATTGCTATTACTCGAGGTATTCTTCGAGCCATCACTACTTGCTCAGAAGAAAGGCAGAAGAGCAGCACACAATCTCCTTAGAGTCAGGCATCCAAATTTTTACTGCTTTCATGCAGCTGACTAGGTCACTCAATAGTGCTGCTAACATGCTATGTAAACAGAACCACAATAGCTACAGGAATAACCATTCACAGGTTTGCTTCTTTGCTTTGTTTTTCAGGATGTGATGACCGATATGAATAACTTCTACCTTCTGTTGGCCATCCTAAAATATTCTCAAACACTAATTTGTTGTTTTTCTTTTTTTCTCTGCAGCTTGTTTAGTCTGTTGAAATTTTGTGTATTTCATGTAAACTTGGAAGGAAAAATCTGCTCAGACATTGTGTGACCTCCCTCTAGTGGCTATGGCTGCGAAATAAAGGTAGGGCTGTGATGAAGCGAACCCCAAGGTTAAGTGTTTGTATTAACCACGGTATGAAATGAAAGGAAGTAAACATGGAAAGAAGACTTATGCCACATCAAAATATGCCACAGAATTGCTGTGTTGTTGCCAAAGCTTAGTTACTGCTCTTTCAGCCCTGAAAATACCTATTTTCCCCACTTTCCATCTTCTCCCTCTGTATCCTTGCACATGAAAATTGTATTGGGTTTACGTGGCCAGGTTTTGGTAGCGGGGGGGCTAAAGGGGTGAGAAACTGCCAGAAGCTTCCCCCATGTCCAGCAGAACCAATGCCAGCCAGCTCCAGGATGGACCTGCCTCTGGCCAAGGCCAAGCCAATCAAGAATGATAGTAACATATCTGTGATAACATATTTAAGAAGTAAAAAAAAGTTATTGGGCAGATGAAAATTGCAGCCAGAGAAGAGAAGAGTGAGAACATGTGAACAACTCTGCAGACACCAAGGTCAGTGGAGAAGGAGAGGGAGGAGGTGCTCCAGGTGTCAGAGCTGAGGCTCCCCTGCAGTCCGTGGTGAAGACCACGGTGGAGCAGCAGTCCCGGTGCAGTCCGTGGAGGACCACAGAGGTGCAGAGATCCACCTGCAACCTGTGGAGGAGACCCATGCAGGAGCAGGTAGATGCCCAAAGGAGGCTGTGACCCCATGGGAGGCCCATGCTGGAGCAGGGGTCTGTCAGGGACCTGCTGACCTATGGAGATAGGAGCCCATGCTGGAGTTGGTTTTCCTGGTAGGACTTGTGGCCATGCCAGAGCAGCCTGTGCCTGAAGGACTGCACCCCATGGAAGAGTGACCCATGTTGCAGCAGTTTGTGAAGAACTGTTGCCCACTGGAGAAGTTCATGAAGGACTGTATCCTGTGGGAGGAACCACATGGGAAGGACTGCCGGGGGAAGGACTCCTCTCTCTGAGCAGAAGCAGAAAACAACTGACTGTAACCCCCGTTACCCAGGAGGAGGTAGAACTTGGGAAGGAAGGAGGGGTGAGGGAGTATGTTTTTAAGATTTATTTTACTTCTCATTCTCCTACTCTGATTCTGGTAGCAATAAATTTAATTAATATCCCCACTTTGAGTCTGTCTTGCCAGTGACGGTACACGGTAAGGGATCTCTTCCTGTCCTTACCTCAACTTATGAACTCTTTGTTATATTTTCTCTCCTCTGTCCAGTTGCAGAAGGGAGTGGGACAGTGGATTTAGTGTGTACCTGACATCCAGCCAGAGTCAACCCACTACACAACCTAAGGACACTGGTGGGCAGAAATCTGCATGTAATTAATTTTTTTTTTTCCAGTTCTGTTAGTTGTCTGAGTAAGATGTGGAGAAAAGCTGCTGTGCCTGAAATCCTATCTGATTTTACTAACCACACACATTAATCTCTTAAAAGATGCTGTTTTCTCTTGCAAACCTTGTCCCAACAGACATTTAAAGAACAGGTAAGATCTGGGAAATGCAACACCTTTATTCCATTTCTAGTAATTTTCCTTTAGTTCTCTGCAGTAAACATCAGTATCTTTGACAAAACAGTATCTGTATGTATACCTAGCAATTGTATTCCTGTGTTTAAGATCTCGTTGACTGTTATTCAGCACCTTATCTGCACATTTGTCTTTTAGACACAAAAAGTTCCAAGGATGCATGGCTGTGTTAGTATCTTTATAGAAAAAGATAGCAATGACAGTGTAGCAAGACAAAAGTTGTGGGTGGAAAACAGCCCGTTAAAAATTACAAAAATGCAAAGCTGCAAGAGCAGCTTTGCCCTTGTGTCTCCTTTTGGATCTCTCATATTTTGGCCTCCAAGTGTTAAGTGGAAGGTGAAATTTACAGAGAGTGTGAGACAAACCAACCCAAGCTGCATCTACAGAACATCAAAAAAAACCCTCTCTCATGAGTTTATGTTTCTGGCACAGCAAAAAATAATATGGCTGTTGCCATAAACAGAGGTATGCTGCAGCTATAACCAGAATTTTGTTGCTTTATTTCACCCCCTCTCTATGTTGGGTTTATCAAATAAAATAACAAGCCAAAAAGTGGGGGGTTGTCCTGGGGAAAATACAGAAAATATTACTTTTTCACAGAAAGCATTAAGCTAAAGATAGCTCTTTATAAAAGACAAAACCCAGCAGTGATAACAGGAGATAAATGCTTTAAATGACCTGGGACATGCATTACCATCCCAAACTAAAAACCTGTTCATAACAGATGGCACTAAATGTGGTGTGTGGAAAGTCTTGGAAAGTGCTGACACAATGGCAAAGCAGAAGGATATCTGACAAAACAGGAACTACCCCAGGACATTCACAAAAATACTGGAAGGCACTGCCTTCCAGGAATACAAAACTACTTACTTCACACTATTCAACATCTCCCAAATTGAGCAAACTAGGCATTTTTGTATGTTAATTAAAAAGTGGGGGGAAGTGTAGCTCAATACAGGTTAAAAAATGATTTTACAACATTTTCCTTCAAATATTTGCTTGAATGACTGAATTCAGGTTCAGAAGCTTTTCTGGGTCCTCTTCTTATAAATACAGCTTGTCTGAGAAGTGGCGCTGATGATCAAAGTTAAAATAAATTTTGGCATATGTTGCTCACTCTACTTTTGTCCATCTCTCATCTCTCATTCCATCGAGTTCAGCAGAGTTTTATCCCTGAAAACCAGGAGCAGGGAGAGCTGCCTCATGAGCAACAATACTGAGCACTGCCCTGGAAACAAGTTTGCTGCCTTTGGGTCTTAAGAACAGCCACCATCATCACTGCACTGCTCGGGTGTGAAGACAGCAACAAGGAAGACAGGTCAGCCCCTCAGATGCCTTTAATTTCATGTCTTTCCTTAATGATGGAGGTTTGGAAGTAGGAAAAACAGTGTTTCAGAGCCTGGACCTCATTCACAGGATTAAGGCAACACAACCTGCTTCTCCTCTAAACCCTTCCTGTTTTTTTGCCATTGCAATTCCAGTGCAAGCTGATCTGCAAGCATTGGCAGCCCACTACCTTTCCTCCACACATCAATACCATAGATGGTGTATGTAGACAGTTTATACAAAATGACCCCCTGCATCCACATTTCTCTTACACACCCATATAAGCCGACATTAGGCTGGAAATCTTGCAGCATAAAAGGCTGCCTGATTTGCCTTGACCTTCCAAGTCCCGTAACTGTGATTCCAGAGTCAAATCAATGAATCAGTTAAAACCTAGCTGCCAGTGGGCTAATCTCCACCAGCCCCCTGAAGCAGCCTGTGCTTCCACTTTGGCATTTCTGTCTAGGCAAAGGGACAACTTCTTTACCCTTCTATGCCACTAACTGCTCCAACCTTTTTTCCTGCACTTTACAAGCTGGTGCACAGGATTCTGTTCTTTAGAAATCTTCCTTCCTGAAACATTCCCATCCTTGGGAATATTAATCTGCAAGTAACTTTTGCTGGGCTTTGGGGCCATGTGTTCATGTTTGGGAAACATACAGGGCTTGAGGTGGGCAAGTGCATGTCCTTACTCTGAGTGAAGATATCCAGCCCACCAGCGTGTGAGGGACTGGAAATTCCCAAACCCCTTTAGTGGTTTTGGAGAAGCAAGATGGTACAAGGAAGTACACGTGGTACTAGTGAGACAGTATGGCCAAAGAGAGTGGAAGCCAAGTGGATGCCAAGCTGCATCCCTGGGTCTTCATGGAGTAGGGTAGCTGCTGCTAAGCAGGAAGGCATGCAATGTCCCTGAACCCATCACACTGCAAAACCCACCACCCCTTGGACCTCCCTGCCTGGTCATGGGTGCTGTTTCCCCGAGAAGACAGCTCAGACAAGTGGATAAAAGTCCCAGACATAAAAATCAAGCAGGCTCAGCATGCCTTCCTTGCTTGCCACTAGTGCTTCCAAAATGGGCTGTCACCAGCCTGAGTGTTTCTCCGTGTGAAACAACAGGAGTGACAACAACGTGCTGGTGGGCACTGCCAAAAACCACAACTGGAAACACCTCCATGGTGAGCCGTGGTGGCCACCACATAAGGTCCAAGTGGTGGCAGGTGCTGGGGCAGTAGGTGAGGGGGGGAGATATCTCTGCTCAACCCGTACTTGATTTCCTATCTGGGATCCTGTTGAGCATCACCCAGAGTGCTTGTCAGGGCTGTAGCTGTCTCTGGAGAGCAGCAGCAGATCAAGGGTGTGCTGGTCCTAGAGCACAAATTCCCCAAAAGGTCAGGTGACAGCCATGCACACAGATCCAAGGTAGATGGTCAGGTTGTATGGCAGGGGTAGCTTGCACACATCTGGAGGGTGACCAGCTCCGAGGTGTTGTGCCTGGCCCCATCCCTGTGCAGTCTCCCCACTGCCCAAAGCTGGTTCAGCCATCAGTGTTTAAGAAGATGGAGAGAAGTCGATGAGCAATTTTGAGTAGGATGGAAATTGTCACCTCTTGACCCTGTACAGCAACAAGAATTTGTCTGACTGAGCTCATAGACAGCATGCAAGAACATTTTGCTCTGAAATTCTGGTTTGTCTGTTTTCTTGTTTGTCCAGTAAGACAAGTTGTCTCATCTGTCCTTGGAAGGGAAGTGGCTGGTAAAGGTAGGGGGGACTCCTCAGAAGAAAAGATTTTCTTTCAAGGTGAATTGCAACAATGGAGAAAACAAAACCCAACACCCCTCCTTAAAAATGTATAAAGGCTCAAGTTTGTATTTTGCCATCATAAATTTTCATTTCAGTGGGTATGCAAATGCAAAAATGTGTGTGGAGGGGTGAAGGTTTAACTAGGATAAGCTTAAGATTGTCAAGCTTAAAAGCAGACCGCAGAACCTGAAGAGAAGGAACTAAAACTCAGGAAAAAGAAAGACGTTTATTTAAAACACAGTGCTCTGAATTAAGGCAATGCATGTCACCTGCTTGTGCTGTTAGGCTGTTGACAGTCATAAGAGAGGTAAACTTCACCTTGTGTGTTGACTCATCTGACGGATAATAAAGATATGGTCTCAGTTCTAGGAACTGCATTTACTGTGTTTTGGAGGTAGTCTTTCTGAGCTGATATTGACCAACAAACTGACTCTAGTGCTTTGGGGAAGTTGCAGTCCTGTATCAGAGGAGCTGAATTCTAGAGAGAGGTTCAGGAAACACCTACTTCCCCTAGTGGGAGTGAACCGGACCTGTGGGGGGACACTGGGTGCTGAGGACAGCCAACAGGAGAGCTGCTCTTCAGGAACTGCCCATGCCCACCCCAGCACCTGGTCAGGCATGGTTCTGCCAATTTCCACCCTGGCTGCCCAGTGTGCTGGCAGCAAGGTTTGTCTCTCAGCATGTGTAACAGAGCTTTAGGTGTGGTCAGATGAATTTGTTAGTAGATGAAAGCAGGAGACAGTTTCAGGTGGCCGAAATGGAGTTCCCCCCTAAAAAATATGAGGGCTGTTGGCAATTCAGCATCTGGGAATGTCAAGAAAAGTCTCTATTACTGCATCTGGACTGATGTTTGGTTGGTTACATGCATGAGTTATCACAGGCACTACCTGATGTCGGTATTTAGAAAGAAAAAAAAATTTCCTTAAATGAGTCTCATCAAATTCTGTTCTCCAAGGAGTTGTGCTCTTTGAAGCCTCTTAAACCAATGTCTGATAGTTGAAAAGATAAAGGAAAATCAAGTGAGGGAGCCCAAGTTCATTTAGTAACTATGGCTTTCCAAAAAGACTTCTTGATGACATACCCTTCCTTATCCCATCATCACTAAGTGCTGTTTTAGTGAGAAGCAAAAAATTGATTGTGAAGAAAAGTTTTGCTCCTTTTCAGTATTTAAATTTTGATGACTGTGGATTGCATAGAGACTAAGCCCTATTTTAAGTTATATCTTCTCAGATGAACTATAATATCTGAATGATGGGTAAAGGACAAGAGTAATTTTTCAGATAATTTATGAAGAAGGTGTTTTTGTGATTGCTGAGATGGTGTTGCAAAACCCTCCCTTGAGCAGGTTTTTCAAAAGAGGAAGGTTTTGATGATGAGATTGCAACAGCTTTGTGGGCATGAGACTCAATAATAGTCACAGGAAAATCCCTGCTTTTTTAGTGCTTTATTCCTATGAGAACTTCTTGCTCAATCAGGAAGTTTCATTAAAATAATGGAGAATATGAACAAAAGAATGAGGATTAGTTATATGAGTAATGATGCAGACATAGGTACAAAATACTTTTTTTCTAGAGCGTGGCTTATTCAACTAGCATCACTGTCTGGAATCATATTAAAAAACTTCTGTGTCTCTCTCTGTCTGACTTTTGAAGGGTGGGGACTAAGCTAAGGAAAATTAACAATTATACCAGGTGGAACAGAACCACATTAGTGTATGATGTATGTATTATGGAGAAGGTTGTTCCAAGAGCCCATGTCTGCAAACAACAGTGGGATGAAGAGGTACCAAAATGGTTTTAAATCATTAAGTTGTTGTGGTGAGAAGCTCGGTGCAAGCTAAAGTGTCTGAAAAAAACCCACAGCTCTGTCTGTACAAGTAAATAGCCATGTAAAAACTTAAAAATAAGGAAATGGCTAATGTAATTGATTAATATGCTAGCAGTGCTACTCAGAATTTTCTGGTATTTCTCTTTTATCTCACACCCACATACAAGGCATGTGAACAAGTTGTGCCTTGAGAGCTAACAGCTCTAGTTTGGAAGTAAAGCTACTGCATCAGACAAACTGCAGTGAAGGACAACTCCCATCTCTCTTGAGATCATACTGGTTTGACTCTCAGAATCACCTGCCATGTGCCTGCCATTACCCAAGACGTACTGTAGGCCACTCTTCCTATTTTTCTATCTACTATTCAGCTCCTAACTGAGGAACTGCCGTCAGGACGATGCAGACATACTTTCAAAGTCTAGGAGCGGTTTAACATTCCACTTACTTACAAACAAAACTATCCATCTTTTTTGTTCCTTTGTGATAACTGAGAAAAGTAATGAATACATTAGCAACCTTTATCCTGCTTGGAGAGAGCTGAGGTGTCTGATTCTTTGCATTTAAACAGATGCAATAAGCAACTGCAATGGATTCCCAATCTCTGTGTCAGATTAGCAGCAAGAGAAAAAAACCCTCACTGAAAGATTCCGTGTTGAGGCTACTTATGTCCCCAGTTGCCTGTGTTTGACAGAAAGCTGCTGCCCTGTGGTTCTGTGCCTACCCATTCAGATCAGAGAGCAGCCTGGATTTGCGGACTTGCACAGGACTCTGTGGGCTACCCGCTCCAGTAATCAATTACCTCCTATTCACTCTGATGCAAAAGTTCATCTAGTTTTAAATCAGGCAGTGATGGCATGCCATGTACCCAATGTCACTTTTGGTCTGGCACAAGAGCAACAGTGCCACAGTGCTCCTTTTCCACTCTCTTTCCCTCCAGGGCAGATGGCCCATAGCTGGTCCTCATTCTGTAGGCTTCTTGCAGAAACCAGGAATAAAAGCAGTTCTGCTCTGGCACTTTCCCTGTGCATTCCCATCTTCCCTTACACCAAATGACTGCCAAGTGTCACTCATGATCTCTATGGAGAGGTGTTAATGACCAAGGCACATCTCAGAGGTGGAACCATACTGTCCACAGGTGTCTAGGTGAATTTTGTGACAGCCAGAACAAGAGCAGGGAAGACAGGTGCATTTCTGTGGCTAATGGCTGGCACGGCTGCTAACCACCATGCTCTCCTTGTGGGAGCAATTACTGCCTTTCCGTGGAAGCTCAGAAGGGCTGCTCTAGCATGGCAGGATGCATCTGCAGCCTTGTTCAGTAGCCAGAACTTACCTGGGCACTCATACAGGGCAGGGAGTTAGTGGGTGATTTCTGTGGCAGCCAGTTGCTACATGCAAACTTTCTCTTGCAGCTCATAGCCTGGGGGGATTGCTAAGTGCTCAACGACTCCTATATTTGGATTGGTAATACTCATTGCATTGCTGCAAAACTGAGACAGATGGCTCAGAAAAGTGATCCCCCAGTAGCCTAGTGTGTTCCCATACTTCCCTGCCATATGTGTATCTGAGTCAGAGATATGAATAGTGGAATAAGTTATCGATGCCGGGCTTCAGGTGAGATGGAAAAATCAGTGTGTCTGGGTGTGAGTGTTCTCATGAAGGGGTTTTTTTGTGGTATCCAGGAACAAGGATCCTGGATGCGTGCCAGAACCTGCTATCTCGTACGTTTATCATCAGGGAATGAAAGCAATAGGAAAGGGGAACGCTGGAAAGCAGATTAAGTTGTCCCCACCACAACAGCAGTAGTTGTTGCACATACCCTATTAAAGCAGGTAAGAGACAATCCCTTGTGTCCCAGGCTGCAGTAACAGTTCTGGTCTCTTTGTAACAGGGCAGAGAGGATAGAGGCCAACTTGCCAAGAAGCTGTCAAGGGGGACTCCAAAACGGGTCTATTTTGGCAACAAAGAGCTTCTAGTGCTCAGCCATCTTGTGTACTCTCACTCTTAGTAAAGAAAGCAGAAGCAACAGTGCAATCACACACTGTTATTCCACAGGTGAGCCTGTTCTGAAAAACCAGTTTAATCCAGTGCATTAGACTGGAAGTCAGGTGTCAGCGTTTCAGTAGTGGCTTTTCCCATGGTCTGCTTTAAGACACTGGGAATATCATTTCACTCTTTTCTGCCCGCTTTTGTGAATGGAGAATAATAGCACTGATCTTCCTTGTAAAACTGTTGGCATTTCTGAATGAGAAGTGGTTCTCTTACTTCTTGTGACCTTAATTTTCCCACTTGAACAATGTGTAAGTTGCTAGTGACCAGCATAGGTGTATGTCAATGTACACATTGGTGCATATCCTGGGGGATTATTATCACCTATGACTGCCTGTATCCCAGCTCATGCCTATGCTGTGACACTATTGTATGGAAGTGAGGACAGGACTTTAGCTTGGAAGAGAATTCAGTAAAGTTACCCTGAGGTACTCAATACCAGGGACTGCAGATTCACACCTCTCCCAGTGGCATCAGAACCTACTTTCTGCTTTATATGAGCAGAGAGGGGAAAGGCAGCTCAGTGGTAATACTGCTAGCCTGGGATGTGGCTGCTACCCTGCACTGTGGTGGTACATGCTTCTTGTGAGACCTGGGGAAAGTGCTTTAGGGCCAGACACTTCAGACCAACATACCTTGAAAATACTTTCTCTTAATTTCCCCATGATTCTATTTCTTATCTGAAAAGTGACTTTCAAGAACTTTCTGTCATGCAGGAATGATGTGGGAGATAAGTGGACTGAGACAAGTACCAAGGAGAAGTTAAGACTGTTATAGAAATTGAAAGTCTTTAGCCTTTAAGGGGGTAAGAAAAAGTCTTGGTCTTAATTGCATGTCTTTGGGTAGTAAGTATGCTGTTTTAAGATTTGGGGACCAGTTTTTTTCATCTTTTATCTGAACTGAGATTATCATATCTGTCTGAAACTACAAATATCTCTGATTTAGTTCTTTCATGATACACTTATGAACCCAAACTGATCCTTAAATGACTTCTCTGCTTACCTGGTGGGTTCCAACTTTTTGTTCTAATAGCTGGACCACTGTCCGACACTATTACCTCCCTTTGATAGTCCTGAAAAGTTAAAGTGTCTTGGTCAAACTTGGATAGGAGTTTTTTTGTTAGAGCCTGGAACTGAGTCCCAGGCTAACACCCCATGCACTGAGAGGGATGATTTCTCACCCGAGAGTCACTCAGTGATCTGGATCTGACTTGGATATGTTCTAGTGAGTGTCTGACAGAGTGTTAGGCTTATAAGTTTGGATTCAAAATCCTGGGCAACCACAGTCCTTGAGCACATCTGTCAGAGCAAAATGGCTAGTTTTGTCCAGGCAATCTAATGTGATGGCAAGGAAAACAAGGAAGAGGAAAAAAACACACATGCTGTGGAAATGCTGCATCTTTCTGATGCAAAGAGAACAACCTCAAAAAATTGTTTTGCCAGTGTGCAACACTGGAAAACATATGGTGATTATTGTGGAAACAACAATGAAATACGCAGCCTATGTAAACTACACAGTGCAGTACAACAAATGGCAACGACCTGAAGCTTTCTGTCTGTGGAGAACATATCTGGTCCCAGGTTTATTGCTTCTGAGGCAATGAATTGTAGTAAGATCACAACAACCAGCTTCTAGGAAAAGTCAGCTAGCTACAAATAATATATGCTGATGATTATCCTATGAATATCTTGATCAGTAATTATTTGTGTTTCTTGTGCATGCTAGTTGTAAAATATGGTTATCAGAAGAGCAAGCACTATTCTCATAGAGTTATGTGATAAGTTACAGTAGGAAGAGGGTGGAAAGAAAGAAAAAGACAGAAGAAGAAATTTGCCTGTGCTTCCATTCCTTGTATCCCCACTTTGGGCTGCTGTGAAGCTCTAGGGAGTCAGAAGCAGTAGAGTCTTACCAGGTGCTTCTAAAAGTAACGTGCATGGGGGTGCAATCCTGTGCATCATCCAACCCTTTCTCAGTCATGTGAACAAGGTAAAAGTAAATGTATATACATACAGTAAAGATGAAAATACTGGATCTGATTCTGTTTCTCTGCACAAATCCTTAACCTTGTACAATGGAGTTTAGGCACTAGTTATGAGAACGTGGGTTTTTTGCAGTTGCTACAGGAGAGCTGGTATGTGTGTGTGCGTGTTTCTGGTCCCATAGAAAAGCATGTGAAGACTAGAAGTCGACTCTAGCCTGAACTCAGATTTTCTTGTGCTGGAATAATAAGGAATGAGGAATTGATTTCAATTTGTTAAAAATAAAATTTCTCCCAGAAAAATGAACATCTGTTAAAAAACTTCACTATGATGTTTATATAGATTACATATTTTAATCTTTATTACCTCTCTTTTCATCATCTCAGATTTTATAGGTAAAAGGCTTAAATCAGCTTAAATGTCTGAGGATTTCTGTTTGAACTTAGATCCCCAGGCATTTTCCTGCTCAGATGTGGAATGGTAATTCACATTCTGCACAGCACAGTCACCTTTTCCTCCATGTTCAAAAAGGGCCAGCAAGCTTATTTGTTAGATCAACCTTTTATATCAGTTATGATCTGATTAAATTTTTCATCTAGGCTTTGCCAAATCAGTCTCAGTTATGTGCTTCTATGTGTGTACATGCATGTGCAGAGAATCATAGAATAGTTTGGGTTGGAAAGGACGTTAAAGATCATCTAGTTCCATCCCCTCTGCTATGGGCAGGGACACCTCCCACTAGACCAGGTTGTTCAAAGTCCCATCTCACCTGGCCTGGAACACTTTCAGGGATGGGCCATTCACCACTTCTCTGGGCAGCTTGTTCCTTTGTCACACCACCACCACAGTAAAGAATTTCTTCCTTATATCTAATCTAAACCTACCCTTTTTAAATTTAAAGCCATTCCCCCCTGTCCTACCACCGCAGGGCACAGACAGGGCCAGAAGGTCTCTCGTGCAGTGAAGGTCAGCCCGCAGCTGGGAGGTGCTGACACAGACCTTCCTTTCTGCCTGGGAGGAGAGAAAGGTATTGGTGAAGCAGCCCATCAGGTGCTGCAGCACCCACCAGAAGAGAAATGGTGACTTGGCACCCATGTGGACACAGCAGACATTTTGGGGCATGTGCAGCTCCCTGAAGAGCTGCTTGAAGGTCTTGAACTCTTTGTGCAGTGTCATGATGTAGGCAACAAGGAACACAGCCTCCTCAGCCGAGAGGGCACAGGTGATGTAGTGGTTCTGTGTTATGTACTCTGTGCAATTAGATTCTCTGATTTTTTAAAGCATTTTCCTTCAGAAAGGACACCTTGTCTTCATAAAGTGCTTTACAGGCTTCTATTAAAATTGAACTCACTGAGAAGTTCGGCCTCATAAGATATTTTTGTGCATGCGCATTAACGGTGTAGAAAACAAATGGAAGTGAAAGACTGAGAGTCGGAATGGCAAAGCAGCAGTATCTGAGTGTATTCACTACCGTCCAGAAAAAGAGTCTCTCTTGAAATATTGCAGAGAGGTCTGATCAGACACCACCAACAGCTTGTTTTGCTGTCCGTGTTTGCTTCCTGCTGGAGAATGTATGCATCCATCTGATGCCCATTATGCAGCTGCTGCCCTTACTTTCAATACTAATAGTTGCATAGCCATCATTGATGTGGAAGCAGCATAAGTAGCGAATGACTTGCAGATGGAAGCTGCTCCACAGCACCCTGAAGATTAAACAGACGTGTTGCATAATTACTGGCTTGGCAATGAACAGCTGGCACATATCTCACGGTGTCCCCAAATTCAGTTTATGGGTGTGTTCTTAACTGCTTCCTCCCAGTCTCCCTGCATGTATCATATAGCTCTTAAAATGTCTGTGCATGCACCTGGTGACAGGAAAACCTCATATTTACCTCTTGTATAATTTTATTTTTTTATTTATAGGACTTTTTTTAAACCATCCAAATGTATCAGTTATCACCGCTTCCGAATCATGGAAGGCTTCTGACATGAAATAAATACTACTTCAATATGTCTCAGTGACAACTACACTACTTACTAGATCAAGTATATATTAGCTATTGTGGCCTTTCTGCTGTTTTATATCCTGGATGAATATAATTTCTAGAAGGTAATTATCAGAAAACCAGTTCCATACATACCATTTTCCAGCCAAAGAATACAAGATGGAGAACAACCACAACAACCTCTATATTCTTGTCTTCACTATTCTTCATTTCTAATGTAAAGCCACCAACGTTCACATATAAGAAGTAAGAAAATCCTTTTTGCCTCTGCATAGAGTCATATCACAGCCGTTACATTTTTTTCAGCAATGTTTTCTTAATTTGCAAATTTGAAATTTGACAAACAGATTCTGCTTAGAGTCACGAATGTGTTGTGATGAGCTCCAGACTTACACCCATCACAAGGAACTGGGTTAGCAAAATGTGTTATTTAAACCACTGAAGTTAACCGTAGGCTTTCTGATGAGACATTCTTATTTCTAAGAACTATGCATGCATCTGGTACAACATGCTTATGCAATGAGAACTTGAGTTTCTGACTAAAGTGAAATCCTTGGTCTCTTTCTTTCAACTGTGAGTCTGTTCATGTGAATCTCCTGCTGTGAGACAGCATATTTGGGGCATGTAAACTTTTTGCAACACCATGTCCCTTTGCTCCAATGTGAAGCAATGCTGAGGCAAAAGCAGTTGATCTGGGATTATACCAGTCAGTAAATGTCCTGAGTGAGCCACTCCTCACTGGGCAGTCAGAAGGAACAGGTAGGGATAGCTGCAGTCCTGCTGGAGATCCAGTGCAACCTCTTTCACAGATACCAGTGCCTTCAGAAGGAGAATGGCTCTGATGGAGCTGAGGAGCTGGAGCAGACCTATGCAAAGTCCCACGGAGTAACAGAGACTCACCTGATGCTGCTGAGAAGTCATCTGGAGAACACTGCTCCTAAGCTGAGACCACTATTCAACTCTAGAATAGAAATGCACAGCAAACACCATCTTCCTAATCTGATTGTAACAGTGAATTATATCCAGGTGTAAACACCACTCTCCTGCCTGATACCTCAGAAAAGCAAATTGTCATGACAGCTGGTGACTATAAGACCAGCAGCCTCTTGCTGTCCTCTGTGCAGTCCATAGACCAGGGAATTCATTGTCTTCCCACCTTCCTACTGGGTCAGCTGGCTGCAAGACCATTTCTCCCCCTCTGCCATAGTCTTAACATGAGACCTCCATTCAGCTGGAGTTAGGAAGATGTAGAAAGAGAATAACAGGGGGCAGATGCCAACATTCCTGCAGGCATCAGGGTTTCATTGGGGAAGTCTCAGTTGGGAGCAGAGAGCACAGGTTGCTTTTCCGAAGTACCAATGGCTGAGATGTTTCAAAGCATTTAAATGCCTTTGAAACTGTCTGCTCAGATGTTTTTAAAACTACTTTAGGCACTCTGTAACCTGCTACACAGCTAGGAAAACCTTCAAGATCTTAAAATATATACATTATATATACATATATATATACATATATGTATGTACGTAAGGAGACTGTTCTCTCTTAGGTATTGAAGACTGCATCACTAGCCTGGGCCACAGCAAAAAAGTGAAGCTACACACAGAAAACGAAATGAGTCTGGTCTTCATAGGAGTCCAATGCAAGATTTAACCTTTCCTTGATCTCTTTTGTTGATAGGGTTTTTTTCCTTGCACAGGCATTGCTGCAACACCTTTGCAGAAATCCAGATTAACCGTGATCCTTTGGTACTAATAGCCTTGGGGATAAGAAGGCTGCATGCTTGGTGCTACTTCTTAATTCTGGTGCCTCAATTCTCTGGCACAGTTAGTGTTTAGAAATCTGAAAAGTTTAGAAACCGGATGTGATTGTTGTGGAAAATCAAGCTGTCAAAACCTTTATGGGTTTGGGGGGGTTTTTTTGGTTTTGTTATTTTAGTACTAGTTCTACCTTGTGCTGCTCTGTGTGAAATAAGATCCATGCCTTGAATTATAAGCAAAAATCACAAAAAAACCCAACCAAACAAAATAAACTTTAAAAAAGCCCCTAAAAAAAAAAACCCCAAACAACCAAAAAACCCAACAAACAAACCAAAATCAGTCAAACAAATAAATAAGTCACATGAGCCACTTTATTGGAAAAGGTCTTTCTCAGGTATTAGTGCGTTATTGATTTTATAGACTCATCCTAAGTTCAGATGCAAGGAGCAGCCAAATCTAAATGTACATCTGAACTATATTAAGGCACCAGCAACCAGTAAGGAGACCTCATGATGCCCCTGGATTCTCCTGTTGCAGATTGTATTGAACCTCTGCATATTCTGGGTGCAAAAACAGAGTTACTGGACAACAAGATAAGATTGAATTTACCAGGCAATTTAAGAAATATGCTGTGTAAAAGGGATCTGTGCTGGTAGAACTAAAACTGCTGCTGACAGATTCGCAGTGCTGCTCCTTTCTATTGTTCCCTGGACATGCATTGTAGTAATTTTCGTTTTAGCATCACAGGAGTTTTTGGTGTGACGCCTATAGTGAAAACACACTCCCCAGTAGGATTGGGGATGGAAATGTCCTCCCTGTGGATGAATGGGAACAGACCTTTCCAGACAATGAGGATATTATCTTCAGGATAGAGTCAATACTCAGTAAACTGTTCCTGGCCTTAATAAATACAGGTAATTGGTTTCAGCTTATTTGTTAGCTAATTAAAAGGCAAGATGCACGGGCTTTGCACATTGGTTTTGAGTTCCTCTTTGGCCTCAGTCAGCAGTGATGAATGTTATGCATTTCAGGTCTATTTGAAGTCGCTTGGTATTTTCTATCCTCTTGTTAGGACAAAAACATCTATATCATGACATTTCGTTTCATGACTCTCTCATGCAAAGCTCTGAATTTGAATTGGCACCATTGTTAAAATCACAGTGAACCTGTTGTGAGCAAACAATTTTGCCTCAGTGTGGTTTTTCTGGTTAGGAGGTACAGGTAGGCACTGTTTTGTGCCCAAGTAAAGGATCTCCTCCGCCCACACACCTTCTCACACCAAGATGAAACTTCTTTGGTCTTGTGCTGGTTTGGGATGTCATACAATGTGCATGGTCTCCCTAAAACTCTCTCCTTGGAGCAGCCCTACCCAACACCACTCTTCTCTAACATGTGCCTTACTCACATGCCCCCCTGGAGTTGGAAGGTACAGTACGCACTGTATTCCCACAGGGGAAGCGAAATCAGACTCTGAGTGCAAAAGCAGTCAGAATTTATTCCTATCTCTCCTCTGCCCTCCCTTTTTTCCTGTTCAAAGCAGTCCCTGCCTTTCCTGCACTTCCCAGCCAGCCATAATCTGACTATTCAAAGAGAAGAAAATTCAAACCTACCTGAAACAGGAGTTCCTAGGCAGCTGCACTGACACCGGACAGTCACAACGCAGCAGCACTGGCAGCAAATGGGAGGAGAGATGAAATGACACATCAAGGCAAATGCTACCTCAGCTCACATGGTCCAGTAAAACCATCGAGTAATCTAATTGTACACAGTCAGTGAGCACATCTGTCTGCACAAACAGCAGGGGCCAGACAATGCACCATCTCATCCACCTTTGTCTTGCTGTGCTCTCAAGCTCCAGACACAGAGTCTCTTACGCTGCAGGAACTTCACTACTTGTCTGCATTTGCAGCAGACTTTTAGACACAAAGGTTTTGGGAATAGGTAAACTGCCTAGTCTCTTAGCAGAGAGCATTTTGCAAGTCAGACTTGCTACTGGTCCAAAGCAGAGCACTCTACTGCTCCCTTCTCCAATTAATTACCAACAGGGACACGTACTCACCTCTGTGCAAACTATTCCTCATCAGCTGCTCAGGAGCAACAGCACGGCATTCTCTTCCCCGCTCATTTATCCTCCTGCGCAGAGAAAGCAAGACATAATTAAACACGTCCTAATAGAGGACAGGCAGGCTGTGGTGGTGAAGCTGGCTTTCTTCTGTTAAATATGACTAGATTTTATAGCTGACACTGGTGTAGTTGACACACGGTGAGAGATCTGTTTTCTTATTGCAGATTAGCGTACGGTAAAGTACAAATTTACATGTGCCACTACTATTTGCCCTGGGGAAGTGTCCAAAGGTAGCCCACACTGGATTTTGCAAACATTTGGGCTCTTGCTGACTTTGTGAACATGAACCCAAGGTGTTCCCTTCAGTGGGCAAAGTGGAGCAGCTGATGTCAGACCCTCAGGGTGGTGCCAGGTCAGGGCAGTGTTCCTGCAGCCTGGTCTCTGCATGGCCAAGGGTCTGCTCCCAGCTGCAGGTGTGTTAGCAGCTAGAGGAGTAAAGCAACTGGATTTTCAGATTGGGAGTGACCTGCTCTGCCAAGCAAGTCTGACCACAGCCCTGCCTGCTGATACAGGTGACTGGCTATGCCAGAGAGTGCAGGTATATGGATCACTGTTATTATTTCTAATGCCTACACTAAACATGTAGCATTATCATGTTCTTTATTCTGACAATATAACTTGTTTCAAGCTACAAAATGAACAGAGAACCCATAGGGATCTAGGAACTATCTACTGTCAGGGATGGCAGAAATATATATATGTTTATTATAGCATTAAAAAAAAAGGCAGAAAGTCTTCAAATATGTAAAAAAGGTAAAACAGAAGCAAATTATGGTGCAAATAGGAAGGGAGCAGCTGATTCTCCCTGCTCTCTGTGCATAAGACAAGAACTAATCATCTTAGATAGCATCAGGAGAGGTAAAGATCAGACACT